CATCGCATAAAATGTTTAATATTATATGTTATATGTTACATATTATAATTTAATTTTGATGGTTAAAGTATTAAAACGTATAAATATTCTTTCAAATACTTTTTTTTTTCCTAAATTGTTTTTTCTTTCAAATTGTTATTGATTGTTTCTGCTGTGAAAAATTTTCATATGCAGTTGATAGTTGTACAGCAGTGCTCAATAGAGCCTTGTTTAGATAATTTCCATAGTACAAACCTTTGACACGATTCTCGTTTTTTGATGGCAGTATGTACACAATTAATCATACATTTAAAAAATACATATGCATAGTTAGGACTTATCTTATTGCTCAAGGTATCATTCTCTCAGTGCAGTTTTGTACAATCGAAAGATGATCATGTTGTTGCATGTTAAAACAGAGACTATAAATGCTTAACTCATTACGATAACTAGCTATGATACTTTATACATACAAAAATGAGGATGTCAATAGTTTTCATTTTCGTATTTGTTTATCAAACAATGAATATTAAAAATCCTACATAAAAATTATACTTGCATTTAACTAGAATAAATATCAAACGAAGCATACTGTTTTATTTGATGACGAATCAAAGTGACACTTAATCATGTCAGTTTCATTCACGATACAACTTTGGAATCATTTTACGATACTTGACACTGGCGCTTTTTTTTTTGTAGCCTGAAAATGCAATATTTGGTATATCTGGTAGGTACTTTTATCTATTTTACGCAATCAATGACGTTAATGCAATATCACGTGTACAACGAAAGTTTTATTTTACTACAGTAAACTATAGTGAGATGTTTCTGGTTCATGTATACATAGGAACTCGGTGATTTAATTTAATACATAACGGTAATTTTATCGTGGTCACGTACAATTTTAACTCGCTATTACTTCCAAACGTCCACTAAATATATAACTCGTACCGAAATTCAAAAAATTACGGTCGATAAAAAAAAAACTTATATTAAGAAAAAACAAAATTACTGTTTAAAAAGTAGTAACAATCAACACAAAATGAAGTGCCTTGTATGTATTTATAATTTGAATAACTATGCTACTGTGCACTTGGACGGAGATAAGTTTTTTTTTACCGCAAGAACTGTTACCTTAAAAAAAAAATATCGTTCAGAGTGTAATTTTAAAAGTTTCAAATAACAATAAAACTCTTAACGTCACACAAATACTGGTGGACTTTAAAATCGTATATTTATTTTTTGACGACCAAGCACCAGATAATCACGATCCACATCCAGTGAAAGCGCAAACAGTGGACTATTCAATTGCGCGTCCGGTTTGTTGGAGGGGGTCTTTCTAATCAGTTCACGAGAACCATCCGGTAATTATACATAGCTGTTCCGATTTTTTTTTTTCGCTGAGGACTGATTTTAGTTGCGGAATTTCACCAGAGTGCGCCGATGTTTTTAAAACGTGTGGCGATGACGCTGAATTAAAAGCACAAATCAATAATTATAGAAAATCTTTCAAGCATCAATGTATTAGTTGTGTAAATATTTACAATAAACCAACGCATTACAAATCCAAGTGTCACTGAGGAAGCAAGTTTTTAACCAAGTGTTGAGTTTAAATAAGATTGAATTTTATCTTCATAAATAAAAGAATAAAAAGTCATGTACAAATATACTTTTTGATTTTTTTTTTAACATTCAACGCTCATGAAAATATATTTATAATAACTATTTTGACAAAAAAGTGTGATCAATTAAGAATTTACTGATCCATTTGACAGTCAAGACCACAATATGCACTTTGTCAGTGTATTATCTTTTATCTTAAAAACTTCAAAGGAAGTATATCAACCTATGGATTCTTGTAACCAACATAAATCCTTCTTCAAGTAGTTTATTAGCAAAAAAGAAAAAAAAAAAAAAAAAAAGTTACGAGTAACCCTATGAATTAAAAAATTTTCTTAAAAAGCTAAAAACCAACCAAAAAGTTTGTTTCCACCCGCAAGAGCACGAGAACCGTGAATATATATTTTTTATCGCGCCAACGAACGTCCCAAGCAGCTTCCAAGGCTCAATACAGACACGTAACCCTTGAAAACCCAAAGGTCGAAAAGCGTCATAATTCACGACACCGCACGTTGCGCAAGAATCACAAGTTCAGCTGATAGCCGGGCTCGACGGCAAAGATGCCCTCGGCAAAGGGGCTCGTCGACCTCGTCCTCACGAGGTAGAAACCCCGATAACTCGTGTCGACGGTATCCCCCGCCAATATGGCCGGGAACCTCGGGGGACACAGCCCCAGCAGGTAAGACAGGAATCCTGGACATGGCCAGCCCCAAAATCCCGTCTTCGTGTTGATCGACTCGGCAAAGTACGCGGCCGCCCGGTTATGGTTGCACCCGAATGGGTTACGCTTCTCCCAGCACCCCGGCTGGTTGATCCCGCCGTTCATGTAGAAATCCACGTGACCGACCGCCTCGACCTTACCCTGGATGAACGCGTTGGTATGAAAAACATCGACGAACTCGGCGTCGCTCGAGTCGAGCTTCTCGTCCTTGCCCACCGTGATGAAGAAAGGCATCGCCGGATCGAGGCCCGTTATCCTAGGCAGCTTGTAGGGCCTCAGATGGTTGGCGCTGTACGCCGGCACGTGGGCCCCCAGGGAGAACCCAATCACGTGGATGTCCTTGGCGCCGTACTCCCTCAGCCGGTCGATCAGTTGTGCGAGGCACTCGCCCACGTGGGGCACGTTGTGCACTGCCACGGGGTAACACGGCCCGGCCGCCAATCTGTGCCAATCCACGGCCACGAGGTTGGCCCGGGACCTGTTCAGGTACTCCCGGCGAATGTCCACGAGCGAGTCGAGGCTCATGTCCGAGTTGTAGCCATGGACGATGAGCTTGGTCGGGCTCGTTGGATCGAAGGCCGTGTCCTCCAAGTTGGAGCCCGTCTCGTTCACCAGGATGCGCCTGCCCGCGTCCGGATTGTCCCGGGTGTAAAGGAAAAACGAGACCTCCTCGTCCGGGCAGGTCTGGTTGGTGTTGACCAAACAGGGCCCGATGAAATAGTCTTTGGCCCTTACCACCGGTCCCTGCACTGCAACCCCCCCAACCCTGCCCGACGAGTCTCCGGGGTTATTGCGCGCCATTATATGACTGTCCAGTAGAGTCATCCAGCCGAGCAGCAGTGCCAGTGTCAGGACGAGTCTCTGGGCGCTCGGCCCACCGTCCCAGCTCATGACGTTGTTGTCGTTGCACTCACTCGTCGGGCTGGTGTTCTCTTCCTCTTCGAGCGGAACTTTTTTAACGCTGCTCGGCCGTCGCCGCTGTAGTGGCAGCAGCTCGTCCCGACCGATCCGCGAGTAAACTGACAACGGCGAGGTCATTTTGGGTAGCATCGGTGCAGAGAGAGAGAGAGAGAGAGAGAGAGAGAGTCGTTGTACGGTGGTAGGGATGGGATGGGAGAAGAGAGGGCGTTTTGGCCGCCACTGCAGGCGGCTTCGGTGTTATACACTCGTAGGAACCTCGAGGTACGTACACTGCGGTGGATCGTTATGCATTTTTTTTTGTGTGCGTTTTCAAGCGCAACGCGTTGGATGTATACCAAGATCGAGTGTACTGCTCGTTGCGAGAGCAAAGAGCCGGTTTTATAGGGTGATCGGTGCATCCGATCACTTATCTCGGCTGTGGGAATTAAAAATGCACTTTTACGCGATATGGCCGAAAGGGAGATAGTGGAGCTGTGCTCTAGTCGAGCCAAATGGAAGGTATGTAGTGATAAGCCACAACAATGTGTGATTACATGTAGGAGTAGTTGTTTCTTTGGTATAAAGTAGTGCAATGTAGTTACTTCGATGACAGCAGAGTATTATTGGAGTGTCGATTTAATGCTTCAATTTTCTCACCTATTGCAGAAATTTAACTTTCGATTGATACATTGGATATTGGTGTGTATTGGTGTTATAAGAATAAAATGTTCACTTTCTGGATCATTGTGATTTATTTTCTCATGGAATGAGCTTTAGTATGCATTGAATAACTGTTAACGCCTCTTGGGGAGTTAATGAATAATCAAAGCAATAAAATAGAAACCAACTCATGGTTGTTCTTAGTAAAAATTGAAAGTTAATTGTTTCTATTATAAAAGTAATTTTCATCATCTCAAAAAACTAAATGTTATTGCGAATGAAAATAAAATTTTTATATTTTCGCGTTATAATTTTTCTAACAATTTTTAATAAGCGTTAATAATAATTAATTTCTAATAATTATACATGATATAATTTTTTTAAATAAATTACTCCAATTCCCAATGAAATATAATATACTTTTAATACGTTTAAAAAAAAAATTTATTCCTATTGATGAAAATCTTTGACGTGAAAAAGCAGTCTACTATTCGATCTAATAATTTCCAATTTTAAATTTAAATTTTTGATTAATTTTTTCCTGTTAAAATTATATTATAAAAAAACAAAACGAACAAAATTAATATACCTGTATGCTAAAAAACTTTTTTTACTTTTAAGTATTCCATCCAGTCATTAAATAGTTTTTATAAAATAAATTCAAATAAGTGCATTAATTTTTAAATACATTCTTGGATAATATCACGTAACAGTAAAAAAAAATTTGATAATTTTTTTTTAGGATTTATTTCATTTTGTTGTAAAAAAATATTCGGGTAATGCTATAATAGAACTTGAAATTAAACTGCAAGATAGATAAGTACCGACAAAAATTATTCATACGCAATCACGAACTATAGCGTGACAAGAGATAATCAAGAGCTCGAAAGAAAAATAGATTTTTCTCAGTAATCTTGGATAAAATTGCAAAAAATAGGTAAACATTGTTAAATGTCATTCACAGGTTATTAGTAATCGAAAAATCGTACTTTCTTTGTTGTCAATGATAAGACCTGAGGATAAAATAATAATTTTCAATAAACGCCTTCGTTTAAATTGGGATTGGCAGTCGAAATGGAACAACCAGGAAGTCGCATCACGGACCGATTTAGAGCTAAAGATGTTAGAAAAATGGCATTCTGAAGAATTATCACCGTAAGTTAACGTATACACAATAAATTAATACCAAGTGGTAGTGAACGTTGATTTGTGGTATAATATTTAACTAGACACTCGGAGGGATTTTTTTCCAAGTATACACTGACATCAGAAAAATAAAAACTCCTTACAGGCATTAAATATTCTATCAGTCACAAAAACTAAACTTTAAAGCCAAATATACATCTGTTTAGGTGGGAGATAAATTTTCAGATCCAATTGGTATAAATTATACGAGTGAATAATATTCATACGCGTCGACGCACACAAATCACTCTGTTTTTCCCTCTCCTACTTTCATTGGATCCCCTCAGATGACATATTTGTATTGTTCGTCGAAATGTATTGCTCTGCACGGGAATAGAGCCCCTAACGCCCTAAATGGCCCCGTGAGCTGCGTATACGGAAGACTAATGTTTAACGTACGGTCAGTATGGTTGAGCTCGCGCAGTAAAGATGAGCGATGGGAAGAACTCAAATTTAATTAACGACGAATAAAAAAAAGCCATGTGAGCGATGGGATTCTCATTTGCGTGCAATACTTAGCTATCGAACGATATTTTTCGAGTCTTGCAACTATGAATTGTTTAATAACCATAAAGCATTTTTTTAAAAGGTTTATAGTGGTCTAAGATCTTACATATGTCCTCATATTACTGACATCAAATTTACGCCAGAAAAATAGAGCAGAAAAATTACACTATTGTTCCTGTCTTTCGAAAAGTTTTACACGAGAAAAACAGATTCTCTCGATTATTTATTCCAGAAGTGTATCGACCGCGTTTTCTCACTTATTTAAACTAGACTACTCAAAAAGGCCATTTCCTGCTAAATCGAATTAACAAGAAACACACGTTACGTTCCGAAACATCAGTGCAGCATGAAAAAAGATCCTCTATTATGCAACTACAAAACAACGGAAGCACATACGTATCACGAGGGCCCGTATTTTTTGAAATCAATCATTCGTAACTAATTCACCACACGAGAGCTACACTTTTTACTATTTCGCTGGGGGAGAACTGGGAGGTGAAAAAATAAATAATTACAGACTTAGTATACTTGTATTTTTGCTCGGATCCTCCAGACAGTAAACTTAGAGTTACGGAAAAACAATTATATGAATAACTTTTTTTTTTTTTATAAATCTCTGTAAAATACACCGAAAACATCACCACTGAGAGATTTTTCATGCTTAAAAAATTTCATGTGAGTCTCTTAAAAAGGGTATTTTTGAAAGATTTCTTAATGCTTACCTTGAGTAAGACCTCTTGTTTAAGGAATCTCACAGAATTTAAATCGCTTAAAGATTTTTTCAGCAATTTTTACGACGAAAAAAATTTAATGGCTATTAAAGCTTGACGCAAACGATCGTATATTGTCTCTTATCGATCTCATCACGTATGCATACTACACCTCCACCTCGAAATAACCCATACTATCACGCTCGACTTTCGCGCGCACTTTCGGGTCTGCTGAATCACTCTTACTCTCCTTACTGCGCTCACCAAATTAATAGTACGAGAGAATTTGTTTTGAACAGCGTCACCGAAAAGCTGACCCCATTAGCGATCGCGTGTGGACACTTGAAACATTTTAAGATGTGCGCACGTGCGGTTGAGAATATTAATTGATTGAACCGCCTTTTCACACTCGGTGGTCGGCCTTTTTTTGGCTAAACGTGCCAGTGGGTCGATCTTTGGTAGATTTTTATTAAAAATGTTGCAATGTTGGCCTATTCAATAAAAACTATGTGTTGATTGAGAAATTCATACTAATTATTAAAATCTTTATCGAAGTTGTTTTAGGAACTATTGCGATAACATAAGTAATGCACACCGAGACAACTACTACTCGCTTTTGTTTTGTACCACTTTAAAGTTCCGGGTCGAAATTTCATCTCATAATCCTGAAAAGTACCACAATAAAAGTTGTCAATTGTAAAGTTAAACGACCATTTAAATTTTTAATTATAGTTTCACCAAGAAATAATTACATCGTGCTTTCACTGTTTCTCCAAGGCTTTTTTAACCCGAGCTTTGGACTCCAAAAGAGAGTACCAAATGAGATCCTCAAAGTTTATGTTTACGGCTTAATTAAACTTGCGAATGTGTTCCACCAGAGACTTGAATGCACCGCTGATTAAAAAATAAGCTCTCGCGAGTCCCTCATTTAATATATTGTGCATCAGCACACGCCCCAACTTTTAATCGGCTTTGAGGAGTTTGTGAATGGACAAACAGATTTCATAAAACCTCATTGACGTTGCGCTTGTCGTGATATATAATTCATGCTCTGAAAATGTAAATCATCGCACCCTAAGACGTGAACGTGTTGAAATTATAAAATTCGAGTGGAGTTGGAAAACCACAGCTACTAACAAACGAGACAAAAAAAATTTAGCACCTTCTCCTACGTGATCCTATGATTCAACTAACGAACCCAGTATGCCCAGAACGGATGGCTGGTCTCTCGTTTCAAACGTGCAAACTGTACGTTTCCTAGACCTTTTTCTGGAAAAAAACCGCGATGATGGATCCCCCCTAGTCCGAGCGACATGTGATATCAACAGCAGTCAAAGGAAGCACCAAAACACAGGCGTGAAAACAAAAAATTGCCACGAAAGACCGAGTGGTGGACGACGAACCACACAGCGAGGGAAATTTTATTTCGTTGGCAAATGGCCAAAATGTGTCCACGTTTTGCCTGCAGATTTGTGGAGTATGAATTGCCATCTCCTTTGTAACAAATAAAACCTAAAAATGCTTTTATTACATCTAATTTCACATCTACATGTGTTACGAAACTCGTTGGAATACACGACATAGCGGGTAAAGCACCTGTCGTGCTTAATTTAATCGACCAAAGTTTTGAGCCCCAAGACCCTTGGATTGCAAGTTTCCAATACCGCTGACCAATAAGTTACCCGTGGGAATAATTCGATAAGCCACTTTTCCATCTCGGGGATTTCGGCGAAAACGCAAGCGACATCGGGGGGGGGGGGGTCTAAAGTAACCCAAAACTATTGTCCAAACCATTTGCTTTCAATAGGAGTCGCGAGTTTTCTCGCCGTCGCGTGACGGCATAACGTGGCGGAGGGTCTGGAGGATAATTAATCTTTTAAGCCATTAGCACGCGAAATCGATCGGTCCCGCGGAGCGACGCGTTTTGTAGAAACAATAGCGCCGGTGAGAGGTGGGTGAGGGGGGCCGGGCTCTCTCGGTATCATTGTCCGGGGTGTAGGGGGAGACGACGGTCTATTCGCGGAATCGCTAACGACGTCTTTGAGACGCGATTCGTCTTGTACTGTGGCGCGTCGGCGAAGAACGGTAAATTACCTATTAGCCCCTGGGTGCTGCATTGCTAATCACTACTGGATTGGTGTTTCCATATCTACAGTACTTTTTTTCTTTTTTCTTTTTCATCCAGGCTTTCTTTTGGCGCTCTTGGCTGTTGCTTTTTTCAGAACATCGGTGCTCATTTACCATTTATAAATAGAAATGGCACTTTATGTTTAGTTGTGTTTTTCAATGATTGGATTTCAGATTTTGCGGTAATGATTGAAGTTGTCCATAAAATAATGTTAAAAATTTCATACTCCCTAACATATTCTTTCAAAATGCTCACAAGTAAGTTTTAACAAAGCTAGTCACTTGGAAAGTTATACAAAGATGTGATCATGTTTAAAATGATTAAAAAATCGTGGCAAATTAAAAAAAATCCTAATATCTCCGGTATACTACATTGTTCTTCTACTTCAAGAAAACGTGAATGAATTTAAATTCAAGATTCGTTTTTTTGCTTCACAACATTTACGTATATGCTTCAACATAAATAGTAATAAAAAGCCAAATGGCAAAACTTGATTGTCCTGATAATCATTAGGGCCCAAACAGAGGAGATTGTAGCAGCATCAAGTGCATCGGACAGACGGGCAAGCAAGCATAATTTGTGGGAGCAGCAAAACTCACTTGGATAGCTTGGATAGCTGACGGGCAGGTGTCCCTGGGCATTGTGCGCGTTGTGCGGATGCCGTGGCGTCGTCACGCGCTGCCTGAGGAAGCAGACCGCACCAGCTGCTGCTATACCGAATACGGTCAGCACCATACACACCATCATCACCGCGAACCAGGTGCTCTCCATCCCCAGGATCGTCGATGCTTCCGTATCTGTAATGAAGCAAAGGTTTTACCGTCGGGGGGCTTGTGTCGTTGTGTCCAGGGGTACAGATGTTTACTTTTTGATCCACAGGTCTCGAAAGAACAAATAATATTGTGCGATTAGCTTAGACTACGTTTGTGTGGTTCGTTTGTGGGTCTTTTTGTAGAAAATATTTTTAACTTCTTTGTTGACTATATTAAAAAACAGGAAACGAAAATGTGATTGCCTTCACTGTGAGACGATTTATTTTTTACATCTCTCTAAATTACGAGAATCTCAGTTGATTTTTTTTTTATTTTTTAAACATATGTACTTATCGTTTGAATCATTTGTAATATTAAAGGTATATCAATAAAATTTAGAGATAGAACTTTGTTATCTTAAAAAAATACGATACGTTGATTGAAATGGTTACTTCTATTTAAGTCGTGCCCAATTTAGATATACGAATAATAACTCAATCATTATTTCTTGATGATTGAAGCATTAAAGTACAAGTGTGATAGAGGTTAGAAAAATAGATAGTAACATAAAAAAATATCTATTCATGAAGTGAAACAACTCGGCTTTAATGTTAAATTGTACTAAATTACTAAGTAAACATTAAAAAAAATTTGGTTTTGATGATGATAACTACAATATTCATAGCGTCCCTGACGTGCAGAAGAATTAAAAAATGGAGTGAGTAATTTATTGGTGTATATTAATTACAAACGAAAACAAAAGTGTACGTAAAGTGGTTATTTGTAAATTTCATTTAGTTATTAAGTAGAAAATTCACGAGCCAAAGTGAAACAATGTTGCCCCACATCTATTTTTTTTAAACACGTTATCCGAGTAAATTAGGGTCAGAAAATAAATTTTTCCCTGATTTTTATTCCAGTTGAAAGATAATTTTTAACGACAATTTTATACAATAGAGATAAAAACATAAGAAACAAAAGTGATTGATTTTTCACATGAACAATACAGAAACGAGATAACATTAGAGATCAACCGTGAATCTGAAAGTGGATCTGGCCTAATGCAAAGTATTGTTTCTTTAAAACTCCTCTTTTGGTTTGTTTTTACTACTACTACTGTACTAAATGTGTATTTTTCAGAAAAATTCTAATACTGCTTTATTTGATACAGTAGATAACATCTCATAATTTTTAGGTTTTCATGTGCTCAATGAGTTGAAAAATGTCAACATGGAAAGGTGCACTTCCCAAAATCAAATATTGCTTGAGCAGAGAAAAAAAATGATGTTTCGAATTCCTCGAGAGAAGTGATTTGTTTCGAAACTTGCGAGAAATCCGTGCCCTTGGAGCTCAAATCAATAATAATTTTCACGATTTAAATGTGACAGAAAACTAGAACAGCAAGATAATTCAGGCCGAGTAGTAGCCTCGTCGCGGTTCGCCGAAAGCTACCAAACAATATAATTATATAACCTGCAATAAAAATCGCAATGCAATTGGACACAATGTACGCATATAATTTTATTATGAACCATTTGAACCCAAGTGCAAACGAGCTCGTGATTAACGAGAGTGATATATAAAGCGACACGGTGCATGCACGACCTCGGACTGTGGCATTAGAGTTGGTTCGGTATTAAACTAGTGGAGAAAATTTTTACTAGGTGTTGTACCATTGTCGGCCTTTTTACAAGCAGCATTTAAGCAACGATTGTGATATTGTACTGTGAGGTCGTATGGCACTCGAGTGGTCAATAAAACGGTTTTATCCATACAGTGACTTGAACGAATGTTAAACGTGTGTGCGTTGGTAATATTTTTGAGAAAAATTGTAGTACGCGTGGAAAAGTACTTCCAAGTAAGTAGAATGGAGTAAAGAGCGAAAGCTTCTTATCAATAAATTTTAAAACTGTCATGTTTGTCTAACCTGAATATATGTTACTATTATAGGATTCGAGATACAGTAAATATGTGTTTCTGCCTGTGCCTGTGCGACTTTGTCCACTTCTGCCTGATTTTTTGTATAAGACTATGTAAGTGTATGACTAAAAGTATTCGATTTTGCGTATGTAAATGCGCCAAATGTGTTAAAAACTAAACTTGTCTGCATTTTTTGGATAAAATAATAAGATTGTATCATCGCTGGCTATTTTTAGTTGTATCATTCAACGTAATTTTTGTTATTGTTGTAGTTTGCTTTGAATTTAATGTACAATATTTAATTGTTATAATTTTTGAAAGTGCGCTATGGAGTCATTCAATTCGAAATAACATATTATTTCCAAATTTCGTTGGACTCAGACATAAGATTTACCAAATATTTTAAAAAGCCGATATGAAATAAAATGAACAATTTATTTTGGATTCTTCTTTGAAAACGTAATTGCACAATAATGAGAGCTAAGAAACTTACGTCTTTTTCAAAATCACATGATAAAGCTTTTTATTAATAAATGTTTGTTCAGACTAATCAAAAGGTCTTTTCACAGTAGGTGATTTACAATTTTTTGAAGCTCAAGCAGGCATTGTATTATTAGTTGTACTAGTAAAATTACGATTTTCAATTACGATTTTTTTTACAATTTATGTCAAATTCAAGTAATTGTATAAAAAATAAAAGATAATCACATATGTATAGGGTAAAAGGTGTATATGCACATATTTGTGCAGCAGAAGATACGGAATGTGGACTAATGAAATATAAAATAGATAATAAAATACTGTTTTGTTTTAAAAAACATTGAAAATGTGGTACTTTGGACACTTGTCCATCCAAATGTAACTTAAATATTTAAACGTACAAAGTACAACAGTTTTATCTCATTTAAAAAATACAGTCTATACTTACCGGCATCATAACAAGATTGAACAGCAAAAATTTATGAAAACTCGTCAAGCAACAGAATTCATTTAATAAATGTCAGGTATTTTTAAAATCTCATCACTATTAAAACTATTGTTGGCGTAACAACATTCAAGTAATCGAAACAATTAATTTTGTGACTGTAAACAAATAAACATACGATGCTAATTTAATTACATCATCAACTATTTTAAATTGTCGAGAAAACGAATTTTCATTTCCCCGAAAAAGCAACTAGAGGAACTTCATTCACCAGTAGGTGAGCATACAACACGCAAGTGCCAAATAAAAGACGATACTCACTGATGCAGACGGTGGAGGTAGACTCGTCGGAGCCGTCTTCGCAGTGGCTGACACCATCGCAAACTAGCTCGTTATCAATGCAGAATTCCTTGAGAGTGCACTGGAAATCCTTGCAGGCGTGTTCTGCAACAAACATCGAATTGTAATTAGAGCCCCTTCCGAGAAGTGGAAAGTTGGGGGGGAGGGGGGCTACGGCCAAGCTCCAAATAAATTGCAACACAAATTGAGGAAAGCTGCCTCGAAAGTTTGTTTGGGAAATTTAATGATCTGAATACGTTTGGATTGAACAATGCAAAGCTCTGCTCGTTGGAACTTTAACGGGCTTGTGTGTTGTGGGGTTTTTTTTTCTGCACAAACTTGGTAAAAAATTGTCCAGAGTGCGTGTTTTTGTTTTTCAACATTTTTTCATGTCTAGTAGAGCTTTACAGGAGTTTGCTTCTTATTTTTTTTCATGCTATGACTCGACTTTCAACATTTTACGTCTTGTATTAATTATTTTAAAAAAAGCAATAAACATGTTTGTTCTTTTGATAATTGTACTGAATATCAAGGAAATGTTTTTTTTAAATCATACTCTACGTGAGAAATTTCACGAGGTTTGGAATACGCTTTGATTGGCGTACGTGTCGAATTCCGAAGTGTAAAACAGGTGGGGCATTTAAAAGGTTAATTATAAACGAGATGACAATCGATATTTAGTCATAAAACTCACAAGATGGATTCGTATCCACAAACACCATAAAGTGTAATCAATTTAAATGACTGATATTTTCACTGTGATGCCTTATTTATGGTTACCCTTCATGCAATCCGATTTTAAGATGAATTTCTCTCCAATGTCAAGACAAAAAATGTTTATTTCATTGATATTTTTATAAACAGCATACAAAATAGGCCTTAAATTTGTTATGCCTTGATATTATAAAGTCCTATTTGATGCAGTTGGAGAATCGATATTTGAATCCTTTTTACGCCATTTAAACATTATATCCAGTATAAAAAACACGTTGTACAAGAGATAAAACAAATAAATAATGAAACAGGAGAGACTTCAAGTGAATCAAGTACCTCGTCTATAGAAAGACAGCCTATCCCACTGATCCACTCATCAGCATATACCATCATAATTTCATAAAAAAAAAATAAAATAAAAATATCACACGAAACATTCTACATTTGCAAAGCACGATCCAGAGCGTAAAGCGAAAAAAAACTCCGTGGAGCGAATAACGCACCGAGTGAATTCTCGTTGTTACAGCCGAGTTGGCTCCCAAGGAGAGTCTCGAGCGTACTCGCACACCGCGTCCACGCGCAACGAGATCCGGAAAAACTCACGCACTCACGCTTGCATGTGTCCGTCTATACGCACATATATACGTGCAATTGCTGCTCTCGCGCGCGAGTAATTTCAGCTCAACTTCATTATTTTCAATTTTCTCGTCGTTTTAAAAAAGTCGTGCATTCACATTGTTAACTTGGCTCAACTGCGCTGATACGAAAATTGGGCTCGTGTTACTTTTGATTGCACTGATTACTCGGCCATTTTGCAATCGGAATACTAATCGAGGGGTGTGATTTGGTGCACGAGCGCTACTGCGAGTTTCGGGTTTTATCGGATGAATGGAGATTTTTTGCAACTTTAGCTCGCATTTCGTAACAATTGTTGACAAATTAAGGTAAAGGGCCCATCTATGAGACAGCTTACGAGTGGTGCCTCATTATTTGAATTAATTTATAAATAGTGTTTGTAAATAATTTTTTTATATTATCCACTAATTTAGGGTTTTTACTTTGAAAATATTTTTTTTTTATTACTGTAAGCGTAAAATTAAAAAATATATGATAAAAAATTGAAGTTATCTACATGTCCGTACTATGAGACACAGAATTTATACCATGTACCAGTGTCTCATACCACCTTATGGGACAGCAGTAGAAACTCAAGATTCAATGAATTTAAAAGGTTTTTTTTTATTTATTTAACACTGTTAATATAAAAATATCATATTTATTACAGTTTAATAAATAAACAATTGTTTATAATAAATTACATAAAATATGTGAAAAAAAAAGAAATTCGCTAATCTTAAAAAGTAAATCATGCAATTGAAATGACATATCATGACAAAGCTTCTTGTTTAATTTTTTTTTGTACAGCACTCATGGATTCTTGTTTAATTTGTTTTTGTATAGCATCCATTTGCTCTTGTAATTTCTTTTTCTCTTCAGCTAATTTTTTCTACTTTTCTCTAAGTTGTTTAGCTTTCTCAATTTTTTCTTCCATTTGTTGCTTTTCTTTTTGCTTAGCTATCTTTTGAGCCCACCACTTATCCGAAGTTCCTGCTGATGGTTTTTTCATTTTCCCAGATTTTTCTATTTGGGCTTTTTTCTTTTTTGATAAATACTTAACGGGCATTGTAAACACATGGTCGAATGTACTTGGATCTATTTGTATTTAAGTAAATATTTTGATTATGTTATGTTAACAGTTTTAAAGTAGTAAATGTTATCATTATTCAAGACTAGATACCTTCAGTAGATTTATTTTCTTGGTCACTTTCTTTCTCATTACAGCTTTCTTTGTAATTATCAATTGGAGTGGAGCTTCGAGTAACATCAAGTGTGCTTGATTTATTCGAGTCACTAGCATCAAGTGTGCTTGATTTATTTGAGTCACTAGCTGAAAGTATTATAATCACATATTTTAACATTAAACCATTGACATTGGTTATTAAATTTTACATAAGAATTGATTGTATTATTGTATACATACCATAATCAATCAAATTAGTATCTAGTGAATTGAAAAAGTTGTCAGCAATACTAGTTTTTGAGAGAGAAACTTGAGAAGAACTAATTTCAAATACTGAATTATCTTTAATACTAATTTCACCATTACTTGATGCTAGGATATTACAATTTTGTACACTAGTTCCATCATCACTGTGACTTGCATCTGATACAAGTTCAAGTAGTACATTTTCTTGAATTTCAGGTTCGCCCACTTCTTCAACTAATGAAGTTGGGATTGTTTGAGGAAGGGATGATTGACTATTAGGATTAACTACTTCTAAGTTTAAATCTAATGAATTTTTAGAAATCTTAATGATAGAATCATTATGCGTAGCATCATCTATAAAAGTAAAAAAAAACAAACAGATTTTACATAAGTAAATCAGTTATCATTAAAAATATCTAAAAGAAAAATCTAGTCATTATTAAAGTTTTGTCATTTAAAAATCTAGTCAATAAAAAGTTAGTCTTTAAAATATGTGTTTTTTATATTTATATTAAAAGTTACCAATGGGATATCCCTTGATTTTAAGCCAATACTTGTATAATGACAAATCTTCTTGATTTATTATTGTTGACTTGTCAAAAAGAGAATCCTGAAATTTTTGTAGAATTTTAGAATCCAAATTTTTTTCAAAATTTTGCAAATGAGTACTATCTTTGTCGTTTAAAAAACAATTATCCTTTGATTCTGCCTGCATTCTTATATCATCTGAAGTTTTATCATCTTTCTTCGTTTTCTGCAGAACATTATAATCGACTTCTTGGGGATTCCAAGGAACTAATCCACATTTTTTAAACCCACTTTGAACTATTTCCTTTTCATTCTTCATTGAATCCAAGGTTTTTTTCAGAACTAGGGGAAAAGTGTCTTTTTTAATTTTTTGAACTTGATTTTCGTTTTTAAATTGAGGCACAACTTTTTTCCAGTTTTCTTTAAATGGGTGGAAGAAAGAAACGTCCAAGGGCTGGGTTATATGGCTAGAATTTGGTGGAAGTCCTATTACTTCTATTTGTCTATCTCTACAAAACTGCACAACTGGAATAGTAAATTGCGAGGAATGATTATCCATATAAATGATAATAGGAAATTTAATTTTACTTTCTAGCAACCAGGGGTAAAAAACATTTGTTAGATATTCATAGAAACTTTCAGCTGTCATCCAGCCATTGTCCGAGATGCCAATACCCCAGCCCTGAGGCACATTTCGAATGATATCTTTTGGGAGACTACTTTTGTAAGCATACATCAACAGGGGTGGGGCTCGAGCACCAGCAGCACTGTACATAAACAACACTGTCTGACACTCTTTACCAGCATCGCTAATCTGATAAACTGATTTACTCCCTTTCTCTGTCAGTACTTTTTCTCCATCAGGAGACAACAAAAGACTTGATTCATCACAGTTGAAAATTCTGGTTGGAGAAATGTGAAGCAAAGCTTTTGACTCCAAATAATCTTGTTGTTCACTAAACCACTCCTGTAACACTTCTTGAGTCACCGCAGCTCTGGTATGACTTAACTGCTGAGCAGTTCTTATTGTAAGTGCTGAATGTCTTTTTCTAAAAGACTCATACCAATGTCTTCCCGGTCTGTTATCAGTAAAGGGGTTCTCCTTTTTTTCTTTCACCACATAATTTTGCACACAGTCTAGAAGTTCGGTTTTGCTTACAGGGTGTCCTAGCCTTGCTTTGGTTATAATCCAGTTGAAAATTTTCAATTCTTCTGCTTCTGATAAAACAGTACCTGGTCCAGCATATGGTTTAGTTGACTGTTGTATTTTTGAATTGTTTTTTCTGGAAAGTGTTGATGGTGGGACACCAAAAGCATGAGAAGCTTTTCTAAGTGATACACCTGATTTTACAGCTGATAAAGCATTTTTTAAATTTAATTCAGTATACTGTTTTCTTTTTAATTTTGTTTTAGCTGTGTTACTACGAATAACTTTTGATTTAATTTTAACATTTTGATTTACTGGTTTTTTAGCAGTATTCTTTTTTTTAAATTTATTATCTGTACCTTTTGACTTGTTACTACGCTTAGTTTTCATTTTTATTTTGAAAATCACCTAAAATAATTATATATTTCAATAAAACTTAATAAATATGCTATACTAAACAAAAGACACTTAACTTTTTAGGTTATATTATACGTTACAATAAATAACATTTAATTACCTTATTATTTTTGAGATACAATAAATAAACTTTATTCAACGCGCTTCAGATCTGCGTTCAAGACGATTGTGACCAACTGATTTTGTTTATTTAAACGTTAAAACGATAATATTTATTACACTCACGCGTGTGTCTAAAAACAACGTACAACA